TTCAAAACCCCCTTCCCCTCCCCCTTTTCTGATGAAGGGTCTAGGCCTGAAACGTCAGCCTCTCTGCTCCTATGATGCTGCTTGGCCTGCTGTGTTCATCCAGCCCTGCACCTTGTTGTCTCGGATTCTCCAGCATCTGCAGTTCCTACTATCTCTGATTCCATTTGAAATGTCTTGAATACTTTTGGTGGATTGGACTTGTCAGGCCTTGTATTTAGACTGGCCCATTATAAATGAGATCACCATCTTTTCCAACATCTACATATTGTGGTAAGCATGTGCACAGCTCCTAACAGTGTTCTCACACACTAAATAAATGAAAATTACCGTACCTGATGCTACATGGTTAACAGAACAAAGAAAACTTTACATGCTGTCACTGGCCCAGTAAACCAGAATCTCAGCTAATGTTCTGAGAACAAGGGTTCAGGTCCCTCCAGGAAGGTGGTGAAATTTGAATTTAGTAAAACGTGGAATAAAATGTTTGCCTAAAGATAACCATGTTTGGAACTGCCGATTGTTGTAAAAACCTATCTGGTTCTTTTAGGGGAGGAAATCTGATGCCCTTACCCCACTCTGACCTACAACAATGTGGTTTGCTCTTAACTGCTTTCTGGGCAATTAGGAAGAGGCAATAAATGTTGGCCTAGCTAATGACATCCATATCCTATGACTGAACAAACACAAAACAAAAAAGATAGAAAAGTTATAAGTGAACTTACTGTACCTTTCACTTGGAGGGTACGATTGTCGGGAAGGATGGGGCTTGCTTTGGTGAGATTCCCTGTAATCTCGACGATCTTCTCTGCTACGTTTCCCAGGATAATTATTCTCAGAACTTGAGTGGTTTTGATATCTTCTTTCCCGATGTGCTTTATTTGAAGGTTGATTTCTGTCGGAACTTCTTGGAACTTTATTTGCATCAGACATTTTGCGGTTTCATTTGTTCCCAGTCTTCACATCAAATCTGAAGATGAAAATACATTTAATGGAATAGAGTCATAAAGTGGCTACAGCACAAGCAAAGGCTGTTCAGTCCATTAGATCCAATCCGGTTCTCTGAAGAAGCAATTTGGCTAGTCCCACTGCCCTCCCCACCTTGTCCCATAGCCCTGAAAATTACATCTGGGAAAAATATTTTTATTTATTAAATCACTTTGCAGCAAACAGAATACAACAATAACTTATATTTACAAAGCACCTTTACCATAATGAAGCATCCCAAAAGTCTTCATAGGGGCATTATATTACAAAGCATAACATTGTACCATGTAGGTCAGATAAGCAAAGGTTTGGTCAAAACTACAGTTTCAAGCAGCCTCTTAAATGAGGGAAGAGAGGAAGAGAGGTTTAAAAGGGAAATTCCAGAGCTTGGAGCCTATTCCGGAGAGATGGCCATCAACAGTGGGGTCATTAAAATCAGAGATGCTCAAGAGGCTAGAAATAGAGAAGGACAGAAGATTGAGAGGTTGGAGGAAAGTATAACGATAGGGGAAGCCAAGGACAGGTTGGATTGGAAAGTAGGAATGGGAATTTCAAAATGATTTAACAAATCTTTTGCATTTACAAAACACTGGGATATATACTTGAAGTCCTGCACCCACAGGACTACAAGCCAGGAGCTGAAAAGTGGCATCAGGCTGGACAACTTTTGGACAGCACAGAACAATGGGTCAAATGGACTCCTGCTGTGAAAAAAGTATCCTGCAAAGGCAACAATTTGCTTTCAATTCCACCCCAATACAAGATCAAACGTCAAAATCGTGAAGCTTCACAAATTGTAATGTTCAAGACTCCAGACAGTTCAGTGACTGCTTCAAGTACTGGAATCCAGAATGTTTTATGAGCCTCTATAAGAGCACCCCTCAATCTCTGACACTCCAGGGAAAAAAGCCCCAGCCTATTCAGCCTCTCCTTATAGCTCAAATCCTCCAGTCCTTATAGAGGTTTACAAAATCATGAGGGGCATGGATAGAGTGAATAATCAAAATCTTTTTCCCAGGGTAGGGAAATCCAAAACTAGAGGATGTAAGTTTAAGGGGAGGGGGGAAACATTTAAAAAGGATCTGAGGGCTGACTTTTTCACACAGAAGGTGTGCGTGCATGGAACCTGCTACCAGAGGTAGCAGTGGAGTGGGTACAATTACAACATTTAAAAGGCATCTGGATGGGTACATTAATAGAAAGGTTTTAAGAGGGATATGGGTCAAATGCTGGGAAATGGGACTAGATCAGATTGGGACATCTTGTCAGCATGGGTGTGTGAAGTGAAGGGTCTGTTCAGCGAAGGGTCTGTTTCTGTGCTACATGACTCTATGACTCCCCCTTTCAAATTACATTAGGTTTGTGTTATTTATACTTTCTTTTTAACAGGTTGCTGTTTAGCAGAAGCAGGACAAGTTGAAACATGCCAATAAGAAACAAGCAGTATAAAAACAATTCATCCTTTTGCAGAATATATCCAGCTTTTGTTTTGCTACAATTGCATAGTAAGTTATTCAGGTTTTGGTTTTTTAGATACTGAGAGGTAGGGAAAACTTAGTAGCGAGTGTCAACATTGATATGCCACTTAACAACACTCTAAAAGGTGCGTTCTGCATTTGTTTCCTTCCATTTCTTAAAGAACAGCGGGAGAAGGCGGGTGTCTTTTGAAGAGACAGTAGGAACTGCAGATGCTGGAGAATCTGAGATAACAAGATGTAGAGCTGGATGAACACAGCAGGCCAAGCAACATCAGAGGAGCAGGAAGGCTGACGTTTCGGGCCTAGACCCTTTCTGAA